TGCTGCATCTGCCCTCTGCGTGCTGCGTGTTGCGTGTCCGGGTTGCAGGTTAGGGTGCCTGTTTCATGTTGGACAGACCGACAGGGGACTTGGCCGTCAGGCCACCTAGGGTGCTCCCTGAAACCGCTGCGGATGAATTGCGGTGCGGAAGCGACGGAATGGAATGGAATGCGGTGATGCGAGTGTGTGCAGACTCGTGTATGTGTGTGTGATGAAATGAACGAGTAAGGGTCTTCCATGAAACCGCTCCTGTTGCTGATAGGAAAGAAGAAAAGAGGAGAGGCCCGACGCAGCTACACAATGCCCCGCATTCTGCCTGCTGAGCCTGAAATCGATAGATGAATGAGTCGTGCTCAGCCGTCCTTCGGTATGCCAGCCGGATTCGCCCGTCGATACATGTACCGCCCTCATGTTCCTGCCTGTCCGTCTGCATGTGTGTGTGCGTCAGGGAGGGGCTCCATGGTACCCTGAGCAGCAGAGGATATTCGCCTCGGAGAAGGCTTTGGAGTTCTCATCACATCGCAGCGAAGAGCATCGACTAGATACAGATAGCTATGGAGAATGGACAGGTGCGGCGCATCACACTGATGTGATGTCTGCAATGGCGCATGTGTCTGTGTCTGTGTCCACCTTTGCAGAGTGAGAGGTCTCCTGCTGCTGCTGCTGCTGCTGCGCCTTCATCTGTATCGGCATCTGCTCGTGGTGGTGATGGTCGTGGTTTGAGTGAGAGGGAGGACGTCGATTGGCAGCGAATCTCGGACATGGTAAGCCGCTGACAAAGCCATGTGTACACTGACGGATTTCTCTTGCCGTCCGTGTGCTGTGTGTTTGTGTGCAGCCGGGCCTCCTTAGCATCGTCATGGCCTTCCTCCCCCTCCACCTGCTCGTCCGTGTGTCGAACCAGACGTGGCAGCAGGCGGCCCCCAGTCATCATCGCCTGGTCATCAGCGCAGAGGACAGAGAGGAGCGGTCTGTGTGGCAGCGAATGCCCCTCCCCTTCGTCAATCAGCTCGCGGCACTGCTCACACAGCTGACCTGTGTCGTCCCCTGCTACCCCATCGGCTTCCCTCTTTGGTGCTTTGACGTCTTCGTTGCCATGGTGGAGGGTCATATCGCCGCGCGGCGTGCAGCCAACATGGAAGGCGGCACACTGCACACCATCAGCATCGAGGGAGTCCACCTGACTGAGAAGGAGAGGGAGACCGTCACAAGGACACCCTCACCCCTCCCACCCCCTCTCGACACTCCCCCGGCCCTCCCCGCACTCACCACTATCGTCGGTTTGATGCGCGACCATCAGGGACTGGCTGACCGCGGCTGGCGAGTGCCGTCACTCGCGGTCGTGCGGCAGGCCGGGTGGGAGGCTGACAACCTGGGCCGATTCATCAGCTCGTCCATCTCCTTGCAGCACGTGGACGGGGGATTTGGGGGTGGCGAGTGGGCGCGTGTGTTGAAGCACATCCCTGAGACAACTGCTGGGCAGCTGGGAGGGCCACCAAGCCACTTGGAGGCCATCGGCACCATCGATCTCGGACCTCAGGATCCGGCGGTCGTCGAGCGGCTTCGGGTGATCACACAAGACAGATTGGTTCATGATGTGCCCTATGTGTGCCTTGTTGTCAGGAAGTGCTCCTGGCGCGTGGGAGTCGACGGTCGCTCGAGCAGCTGCACGTGCACCTTCCCTACGACATAGGCCGCCCCACCGTGCCCGTGCTGCTGGCTCTGGACCGGTTGGTCACCACGTGCTGCCAACATGACGCTCCCGTCACCTTCGAGTCACCAGACGGCGTGTTCGACCTCGACATTTTCTACCACAACGACCTGCCCACCTATCCGTCGCCCCCCCTGGAGTGCATGATCCAGGAGCTGGCGCGGCAGGCGACAGTGGTGCGGTACACCATCACAGCGGACGATTTCACCGATGACGACGGCGGCCCCACCCAGTCGGCCATCGACATCGCCAAGACACTAACATTCGACAAGACCAAGAGGGTGGAGGTCCTCAACGCCTATAGCTTCCGTCCCCCCGCCAAGAGGCCGCCGCCCCACCCCTCAATCATCACCCACCTGCAGCCATTCCCAAAGGCAACATCGCTTGACGTCCACAGCACGTCGGGTGTTGCCGCGGGCCGGCTCCTGGGGGACAAGATGGTCGTCGACAAGGTGGCGGGTGTGCTTGTCTCTGGTTTGCCGGGTGGTGAGAAGAAGGTGGGCGTGCTGACGGCACTGGGGAGGGAGAGGGAGGTGGGTGACGTGTGGATGGGTGAGTTCAAAGTGGACGAGCTGGTTGGAGCTACCGACAGATTGCCATCGATCAAGAATCTACACCTCACTCTGACACGTGAGCACAGAGGAAAAGGAAATGCACGTGTCTTTCCGTCTTTGTTCGTGCATTCATCCCTCGTTGTCCTGTGTGTGTCTGCCTCCAGTGCCGTCTGGCTGTGTGGAGGATGCCGGCAGCTTCGTGTACGCAGGCCTCTCGTCGCTGATCGACCGCGTCAGGGGTCTGCAGCGTCTGGGGCTGAGGGCCTCCAACATGACCCCCCAGCAGCGCGGCACCATCCTGGCCTCCCTGCCTGAGGGCGCCAAGATCGATGGCTTCACACTCACACACAAGCAAGACCCGCATTGGAATTGGACAACCGTGACAGCACTTCGCGATGGCTGAAGGTGAGGGCACCTCCGCGAAGGTCCGATTGTAGAATGATGTTCATCTCTCCTCCGTGTGTCGGCTGTTTTGTCAGGATGGCTGTCTTGGTGGACCGTAGCTCACGGGGCAGTGGTGGAGTTGCTGTGAATAGTGCTGGGTGAAATACATTCGTGTGGTGGGTGCATAGCAGTGTGCGGGTGAGTGTGTTGATGAGTAGACAGCTGTACAGAGCTGGCGGATGGGGGGTGGGGCTAACGTGCGTCGGCATGGGAAGGAGCACCTCACACACACACATACACACACACAGAGACAGACAGACAGACAGACTACATAGGCAGGCGGGGGCTTGCTCTCCCGTTGTCTGGTGTGGTGCTGGATGGTGGGTGCATACATACATACACACATACCTCTGACTGATGGATTTGTCGTGCGTCTGCCGTTGGGCGTTGCTGTCTGGCTCGCTCGCCCTTGCTTTGTCTCTCCTGCTGCCCCTTGCCCTCATCCGTTCCCCTCACTGGCTGGGACGAGAGGAAAGGCAGCAGCAGCAGAGATGGGCACGATGGGCAAATTGAAGTGTGAGGGCGGTAGCTGCCGAGCCGCTCGGCGAGCCCGAAGACAGACAGACAGACAGACAGGCAGGCAGACAGGCAGACAGACAGGTGCATGTATTTCGATTGCAGTGAATGACAGAGGTGCATGTATGTGTTTCGTGTGCGTGTATACTTGCGGGCATTGCATTTGACTGACTTGGGACGACTCTGTATTTCGTGTGCGTGCCGTTGGATGTCGTCAATGTATGTCAATGGATGAAGCCTTCCATGCGCCAAGTCTCAGCATGAGCCTCTCTCGCCATTCCCCTACGCAGGTTGCGTTCGCCACAGCAGAGAGAGAGAGATAAGCAAGCAAGAAAATGAGACCGTCCACACGGACGCTGGCGGGCGACAGGACAGGTCCGTGCTTGCATTCTTCTTCTCAGCATGCTTTGCAGCCTCCATCCGTCCATTGACTCATCCATGCAAGGCGTCAGAGATAGATCTGGACGCAGGCTCACAAAACGCACAGTCCTGATTTCGTTCTCCCTTCGTTCTCTCTGCGAGCTCGTGTCGAGCGTTTGGCGGCCGGCATCACACGGCCGGCGCTGTGTGTGTGCAAGCATCTGGATTTGTGTGTGGTATGCACTTCAGTTCAATCGATGCATGCACCACACACAGCGAGCGAGTGCGTCCGTACAGCTGACATCAAAGTGCCGTTCACACGAATGTCAGGACGTAGACTGGCAAGCCCTTGGCCATCTCGTTGGCTGTCGTCTCCACCGCTTGCAGCCCATCGTGCTGGATTGCGCTCAACAGCTCTTCCTTGCCCACCGCCCCCGAGTGTGTCCGGCGGCTTGCGAAGTAGTCGGCCAACTCGCGTCGTCGCTCGGCCACCGCCGACAGGTGACTTATGAGCGCTGAAAAGCCGCCAGACGAACGGGGCGTCAACACTGCAATCATCCCATGCACCACCAGAGGGCCAGAGAGACGTATCTGTGTTTACGTCGATATATCTGCGCGTCGTGTTACTTACTTGGCGCGACGCCGGCAGTTTGGCACGCCTCGCTGACCGACACCTCGATGAACGCTGCGCACACCAGAGACATCCATCGGCGTCCGGTCCGTGTCCCTACGGAATGCGATGCGTGTGCGTACCTTTTGGGTTTGTGTGTCCGGCGAGGATGTCGAGCTTGAGTTTGTCTCTCAGCGGGTTGGTCTTGTCCCACAGCAGCTTGAAGAAAGCAACCACTGCCTTGCCTGCAATGCCATGCATGGACACACACACACACACAGACAGAGATGTGCGGACAAGGAAGGACCAGCCTGGACAAGGAGCACCGGGCAGCTCAGGGTCCTTCTCCAGATGAAACCTGCAGGAACACATAGATGGTCTGACTGGTCGATTGTGGCGTGAGGGTGTGCTGTGGTGTGCTGTTTGCCATTTGGGGTGCTGTGTCATAAGCCGAAAGTGGACGTCTCCCATGTTGAGCGGATCAGCCAACACGCCCTGAAAACACACACACACACACACGCACACACACAAAAGAAGAGGAGTGTGTCTCCCTCCCTCTGCCCCTCTGTGTGCATCTGTTTACTGTGAGCTCCTCTCGGATGTTCGTCCGGCGACGCAGCACCGCGATAATCTCAGCGACCGACCGATGTGTCATCCATCCACCATGCATTCATCTCAGGTGTAGAGTCCCAGTCGACAGCCACATATCATGATGCACCATACACTGTACACACTTACACAGATTCACGTTGAGCCCCAGCGGCCCTTATCGACAAAAAGAGGGAGGGACAGGCAGTCAGTCAGTCATTGCGTGCATGATCAGCCCCACATAACATAAATGGACACGAAAAAGACATATATATAGTTCAGGCCGGCTGGCTGGCTGGATCAGTCAACAGGGTGGGGTCAAGCTGGTCTGATTGACTCGTCTGAACTCCTGGCTCCAGTCGTGGGCCTTCTTCATGTGTTCGCCGCACCTTCGGCGCACGATAAAGCCGCTATCTTCATCAATCCGATCCACGCACGCACTCAGGGACGAGGCGAAACCCCACACCAGGTAGATTAGAACGATAGCCGCAATCGACAACCAGTACCGAAAATAATGGGGGCATTGCGAATTCCAAGCCGACACGACGTCACTCACGAAAATGCCGCTTCTCTCCTCGGGAAGTTTCGGCGTACTTTGTGAGCTTTCTGGACGCCCCTGATCAGAGCCCCTCACAACCACCACGGCATCACAGCTTGGCACGGTCCGCTCGCCACTGCGCCTTGGCATTAACCGCGACACGCCACTCCACGCCAGGCTGGCCCAATAGCCAAGCTTCAAACGGTCGGCGGCTGTCTCGGGGAACATCGCCCAGAATACGTCGCTGACCAGCTCTCCTAAAGAGGCACACACACACACACACACACACATACGGATGCGAGACGGAGTTAAGCGGTCATTGTTTGTGTCATGCCTTGGGACACGTACGTACCCATGACTTGGATGGCGGCCTGGGTGAGGATCAACTTTGCTGAAAAGTTGCCGAATTCGTCGCTTATTCCATAGAAGAGCAGCACCATAGGTGCAATGCAGACGGCAAAGGCCTCTGCCATAATATGCGCTATCGGCACAGTGTGGTAGAAAGCAGTGGACCCCTCGATGAGAGCCACCATCTCCAGAGGCCCAACATCAATCTTGCAGCAGCGTTTCAGCAGGCGCCGGACGGGCGCATAGCACCATTTGTTGAAGCGTCTGATGTGATGGCAGTCGACGCTGTAGCAGTAAACGTGGAATCGGATCTCTAGCATCACAGAGAGCACCTCCGCAAGCACACCCACCCACACCTCTCTCACCGTGCCCTGAATAAGCGCATGAACGAGGACGCGAACTTATGAACTGATGAACATGCAATCTTCTGCCGTCTCGGCTCGTTTTCGTTTGTCGTGTGTTCATTGTTGCCTTACCTGCAAGAGTCTGGTCATAATACTGATTCCCAGGACGGCCGGGACATAGAGAATATGCCTGTACTCTGCTCCAACGTGGGTCAATCGCAGGCAGAGCATTCGCATGAGAAGCAGTCCCCCTTCCGCAAAGACAAAGATTGCAACGCGAACTACGAGAAAGCTCATCCCGGCCTCAAGGTAGCCCAGCCCGAGAGGCACCAAGACTAACTGCAGACAGACAGTATGGGGACGTCCGATAAATGGCTTGTTGTACATACACACACACAGTGCATATGCGCGAGTTCAGAACAACACATGTACGTACGTACCGATGTCACGAAGCAGAGAAGTGTGTATAGTGCCAAGAAGAAGAAGCCCTGCAGGACATCACTCGGTTTGACGGCACGTGTACAGTACAGCATAGATACAAACGTACCGCGCAGACGTGATGAGGAGGGCTCCAGTAACAGCTGATGAACATTATCGTCGGCACCCATATGACCACACTGCGCAGTGTCCAAACTGTATTGCCGACGGCGTCTTCCAGCAGAATCCTAACACATCAACACCAACAGAGCCGCATACGGATAGTAAGTGGCCTGCCTGCCTGTTTGTGAGTCGGTCAGGCTGTGTGTGCAATTGTGTGTGTGCCTGCCTGCCTATCTGTCTTACCCTTGCCATCGATATGCGAAGTCGAATGCAATGCTGGCCACGCCAAAAATATAGCCTGCGAGCACCATTATAGTCACACGCCGGCGTCCCTTAGCAGTCGGGTTGACACCAGGGACTTGGTTCAAAACGAGCAGCAAGAAGAACTCAGACAGGGCATAGACTGCACACACACACACAGAGGGAAGGCGCGTCAGTCGATGGCGCCCTTGCGGCGTCGGTTGCTCACCCACCTGTATATGAGAAGGCGCTCCAGACGAATTCGGCGATTGTGAATTTTTCAGTTTTCTTTCGCATCTGTGTTTCCTTCTGAATCTGCACGCCATTCAATGCGTAGTGCACCTGAACATCAGCAAGCGGACAGAGCAAGGCAAATGACGGACAACGGGTCTAGCTTTGATTCTTGGCGGTCTTAAATGATCTCACCACAAAACCTATGACAGCAGCGACGAACGCGAGGCATTGCAGCTTCAGCATCAAGCAGGCGATCTCCAGCCAGCGGCTCCTCCCCTTCTGGTGCCGCTTCCGTAGATCATCAGGAAGCAGTGACAGCGTGATGTTCTCTGCCGCCCCGAGGCCTCGTGGGGAAGCTGTATCGATGCGCGTCTGGCTCCGTCGCAGTTGAAGGGACTCGGTCGCCGTGTGATGAAGTGCAGGGGAGCTGAGGCTCCTCGCTGGCGGGCGACAGGACAGGTCCGTGCTTGCATTCTTCTTCTCAGCATGCTTTGCAGCCTCCATCCGTCCATTGACTCATCCATGCAAGGCGTCAGAGATGGGAAGAGATAATTGACAGATGGCATCCATGCACTCGCTTGTCCAAATCGCCTCCATGAATCTATCCACATATGCCTATGCACAAAGGGCACGCTCACTCATCCGATGAGAACACCCCAGCCCCGTCCATCGCCCCAACACCACGCCATGACTGCCTCCCGCCCCTCAAACACAGGCTAGCAGCCCGCACCAATGCAACAGACAAACGAGCACGCAGCCACCCATGCACC